TACTGGAAATAAACTTCTAGAGCAGAGGAAGGAAAAGGCTTTGAGCATTATACCCTTTTAAGAACTATTTATATGGGATCATGACAACAGCAACTTGAGAATTTAGATAGGAACTTTGGAAAGCAGTAAGTTTATGTTAATGAGGGAGGAACAATGGAGAAAAGGAGGGGTCAGAATGCTTGCATAAGTCAATGAATGTAATCAATGTCACTAAAGGGTACATGTAGAAATGTTGAATTGGTATATGTTTTGTGGTATATATTAGCTCTGGTACTGTAGTGCCGAAGGCATTTGACTGCTAACCAGAAGGCTGGTGGTTCAAACCCACTAGCCACTCCTCAGAAGAAGATGGGGCAATCTACTTCCGTAGTGATACTGCTTTGGAAACCCAAGGAGGGGTCGCTATGAGTCAGGTCTGACTCGACGGCACATAACAACAACAACAACAATTATCAACAATAAGATAAATAAAATTTAGAAGAAAAAAATTAATATATGAAAACCCCTATTACGTGCCTAGCACATATTAAAAGCTCAAAAAATCCTATGTCAAAAATATCATATAATTAAATGCACATTTATGATTTATGACAACCAGAAATGAGTCTATAATTTCCATTAGGATTTCTTTATCACTGTGTCTTAATTTTCCTTCTCCACCTACATCTCTTAACTTGACTCCCACCACATAAGGGGTTCTCTAACTTGTTATTACTTCAGCAAGCCAATGCCGTTTATTTAGGTAAAGATACCAACAAATATCGAGGTCTTGCTAGCTCCTTCAACAACTAAATTTCCCCCTACAAATTATCCCCAAGAAATGGAACTGTCCATGTACCCAAACAGCTACTCCGCTCAAATTCCTGATTTTTTCACATATTTACCACTCCGTGACTCCTACTACAACAGAGCATCTTAGGCAGAAACTCATCTCAGTTGTTCTGGAATCTTCCTTTCATTTGTTTATTAATAATAAGACACGAGTTCTCTTGGCAGCTCCCCACAGATCAATTCAGTCAGTCAGTCAGTGATTTTTGCTAAACAACCATCAAGAACACAACACAGTCAGCACCAGCACTGTGGGAAGTTTAGGGGAAGCCCAAGTCATAGAGCCTGCTCTTGAAATTTCTATGGTCTAGTGGTCACAGCCTCGGAAGGAAGGTTGGGCATTCCTACTTCCGTAGTGATACTGCCTCAGAAACCCAAGAAGGGGTCGCTATGAGTCGGGGTTGACTCGATGGCAAACAACAACAACAACAACAGTGGTCACAGCATGTCCCATGCAGTTTCTTGAGGATTCTTGTGAGGGAGTGAGCTTATGTGTTAACGAGGTCATCTGACAGAAGTGCTGATTGTGGTCTTGTGATTTAACTGATCTTTGATGAAAAAGGCTTCCAGGATAAAATACATGCTAGAATGTGGACATTTGCTTATTAAAGAAGCTTTGATCTTCATAGCCTTTGGTAACATGTGAGAATCAACCATGTTATATTAAAACGAAATATTGAATATTGCTGGGGAGTAGTGTCAACCTATTTTTTCATTATTAAATGAAATAAGTCCATTTTCATGAGTAAACATGTTTTTACTGTGTGTTCCTTGTGGATTAGATCCATATCTCATGTCTGTCACCCTTCAAATCTCCTACCACAGAGTAAAACTCAAGAAAAACTTGCAGACACTGATGGCCATATCCTATAACAGAAATGCTTAAAACACTAGAGATAATATTTTATAAATGTATTTCTGTAAAATGGCAATATATTTTGGTGTAAATACCTGCCTTAAATTCTTCTGAGTAAACTTTCTCTTCAAGTCCAAGTATCATGACCCTTCCCTGTAGGTTTTTTTTTTTTTTTTTTTAATTGTGATTTGGGTGAAGATTTACAGAGCAAATTCACTTTCCATACAGCAGTTAACATATACTTTGACTCATGTCATTGACCATAGTTTACCACAATGCAACAGCTCCCCTCCCACTTCCTCCCCATAGTTACCTCTTCCCAGTGTCCATCCCTCCATACACTCCTACCCCCTGAGCTGTCTCCCTGTGCACAAGCAGCCCTTCTTTCTCCCATGATTGTTCTCTCCAAGGAGTGTATCTACTTGAGATAAATGTTCAACTCATATGCCTGTCTTTTGTTTGGCTGGAAACCACAGGTGTGGGTTCAATTCCAGACCTGAAGGGCAGCTGGGGGCCACAGTCTCAGTAGTTCCACCAGGCTCTGTCGGACCAGCAAACCTGGTCCCCACCTTTTTTTTTTCTCCAAATGATTTTGAGTTTTGTTCCACATTGTTCTCCCTCTCTATCAAGGATCTCCTACATAGATCCTCTTCCAAGTGGATGGCAGTGGTAGCCAGGCTGCAGATTGGATGGATCGTGTACCAGTCACTAGGACTAATTGTTTCCATGAATTTTGGTTCTCTTCATTCTACTTTGCTCTGGATGAGCAGAGACCTATCGTTGCATCTAGATGGCAGCTTGCTAGCTTTTAAGATCCCAGTCGCTACTCAACAAAGTAGGAGGTGGAACAATGTTTTGTCCCTGTAGGTCTTTTCTCAGAAAAAGCACACTGTAATTTTAGCTCCTCTACTCCTAAATTGATAATTTCATGGATTTATGTAAAAGGCACATTTAATGCAGTCAAATTGTTTCTAATAAGGTGTTAACTGTATAGATGTGTTTTAAACTTTGCATTATAGCTTGTTGGCACAATTAACAGATATTAGCAGCTAAAGTGTCTTAGTAACTGTGGTCATGATCCTAAAAGAGAGGTGATAACAGAGTTAACGAGAAGGGAATATCCTTTGAATTGGGTAGTGAAGATGGCTATGAAATGCAATTCGTGGAAAGAAGTGTTTAAATAGAAAAATCACACATTTTGAACTTTACTTATATTTGAATATGTAAAGCATGTCTTTGAGCATAATTCAAATGGTACTGAAATGATGTTGTCCTTACTATGGCCCTAAGGCACCTAATTCTTCTCCAAGACGCAACTATTGTTACCTCTTTCAGGCAGACTTTCCAGACAAATTCTATTCAACAATATAGCATTTTAAAATGTTGCTTTTAGTTTTGGTACAAACATTAACCTTGAAAAATAGAAAAACCTGATTTTTAGCCTAAAAGATGTATTTGAAACGTTTAAACAAAGAAAGTGATAGCATTGTTAATTCCTATTCCTGAAAGATATTTTGGAATCTAATTTGATGTGTCATTGTGCATAAGAAAGGCTATTTTAGGGCCTCTTCTCTCACTGTATCTGCCGTGCACCCTAGGGTCAGGGTCTGGCATTCCGCCTACTTTCTAATCACAATTACTCACTATAATAATATAATATAATATAATATAATATAATATATAATGTAATATAAATATAATATTTAATTGAATATACGAATACTACCTCAATTTTCTAAAAGTGGCCACAAATGTGAATTAAGCAACCATTTATAAATAGACCCAGAAATGTTCAAATAAAAGAACTTGTAAACAGTGCATAAACATCTACTATTTCCATATTGTAAACTGTAAAAGTAAGGATTTTTTAAAAAATTCAAACGTTCTGAAATGGTGCTATTTTTGAAATTAAATCAAATGTACAGGCATACATAGCTCTAATTATGATTATAACTTCTTTGAATTCTTTTCAATCATCACCTCTCTCATCATTCTATGAGCATTAAGTTTAATACTATGTGTAATAAATTTGAATATTATTTCAACACCAGGTTATATACAATGCAAACTTGGTCTTATTTGCAATAAATATTGCCCACTAAAAATCCCCTAAAATGCTTAAGCCTAGTGTTCTATATGTTAAGTTTAAAATATCTATTTTCCTAAATGTAGTGACATTGCCATTGAGTCAATTCCGATTCACAGAAACCCTATGCATTACAAAACAGAATTGTTCCAAATGGATTCCAAGGCTGTGACCTTTTAGGAGAAGATCCAGTCCTGCCTTCTGAAGTGACTCTGGGTGGATTTGAACTGCCAATCTTTTGGTTAATAGTTGTGTGCAAACCATTTGTGACACCAAGGGACTACATACACACATACATATCCTAAAATAATATAAAGGTACATTATTGTACTGCCTCCTTCTATATTTTATTAAAATCACTTGATAATCACTTAACTTTCTGAATCTTTATTATTCTTCCTCTTTCTTAATTTTTGAGAAGAACAAATAAACTTATATATAAATACAAATTGAAAATTTAACCTGAAATACATGAAATGTGTTACCATTATGTAATGTTTACAGAACCAGAGTTTCACAATAGAAAAGTGTGAGGAATTTTCTACTCTCATCTCCTCACATAACTTAGAAAACTGTGCCCCAGCAAAGAAAAGTGATGTGATGGAAGTCATGGATCTAGTTAATGACACAGGCCTTTCATCCGATCTCTGTTTTGTTTACTGGCTCCTCAGCTTCCACCTGCCATCAAAATATTGGAGTGGGTATCTGAGTTTCACCTGGGCTCTACTCTTCAAATCTGACCACTCTTCTCAGGTGATTTTAACCACAGTTATGGCTGAGATGGTCATCTCTGGGTCATGCAATGAATTAAGCACTCAACTACTAACCCAAAGGTTGGTGGTTTGAACCCATCCACAGGTGCATTGGAAGAAAGGTCTGGTGAATGAGTCAGACCAACTCAATGGCAAGAGGCATTTTATTTTTTGGTATAGCTCATATAGTTCTGAGGAGCTCTGGTAGCATAGTGGCTAAGGAACTTGACTGCTAACCAGAAGGCTGGTGGTTCAAACCCACCAGCCACTCCTTGGAAGGGAGGTTGGGCAATCTACTTCCGTAGTGATACTGCCTTGGAAACCTAAGAAGGGGTCGCTATGAGTCGGGTCTGACTCGACAGCACATAACAACAACAACAACATATAGTTCTGCAGCCCCATCTCATGCCACCTTCTCCATTCCCATGACATAGTAACAACACTCCATTTCTTTCCTACATTACAATCTTGGAAATGCTTCATCCTCTGCCTAAAGTGGAAAGGAGAGAGCTCAGACACCACTTTTCCTCAGAAGTTCCCCTATCCCTCTACCACCTGCCTCTGAATTATCCCTATCACAGTACTAGACACTTCTAGGTCATAAGTCCATGATGAAATTGTTCAACATTTCATTTCCAGAGCCTGCTTTAGGCCCAATATATAGTAAGTACTCAATAGACAGATGCTGTATTGACTTGAATTAAAAAAATTATGTTTTCATTTTCTCTCTTTTCCTTTTTTTGTATATATATTTATATGAAAAAATCCAATGGAGAGGAAAACACAATCTTACACTGGAAAAAAAAAATCCATGTTACTTCACTTCTGTGAAGGAAAGCTGGATAGAGAAAATTCCTCACTCTGTTGCAGGCTTCATTCACCAAATGAGATGAAAGGTCTTTCAGGCATTCCAACTCTCACTCTTTGAGGGAGAACTTGGCTCTCCCACAAGTCCATGGCTTCCCCTGAAACCCTCTCACATACAGTCTTTACTTTCCCCTACCTCACTTTTCTCAGAGATGGTTTAGTGTTCTCTTAGCTACCTTTGCCACTTCCAGAAAGTGATTTATTTGTCCTTAAAAATAAACACAAAACACAATCCCATTCCCCTTTGCTCTGTTTTATGCCCTCTGCGTTGCTGTCATTCTTAGGCCTCCTGGCCACTGAGCCTTTTGGCACCTGGTTCATAGCCATTCCCACTTCAGTGAGACCTTGGAGTCCACCTGGAAGACTCCCACAGCCTAGCTTCAAAGTTCCTTCACATCCTCAGCAACACATATCTTCATTTCTTTTTACAGCACATATGATCACCTCCCAGATGAGCTCAAGCTCTGAAACTGTATGCTCCAGTGGACTGTTCTTTGACTTTCCACTCACTACCACCCACTGCCATGGAGTCTATTCTGACCCATAGTGACCTTATAGGATAGAGGCATAGGGCAGACCTTGCCCCATAGTGTTTCTGAGGCTATAAATCTTTCAGGGTACCCTCTGCCTCATCTTTCTCCCACTTAGCAGCTGGTGAGTTTGAACTGCAGCCAATGCTTTAACCACATCACCACCAGAGCTACTTATATTCTTTGACTTTACTTCTTATTATTCCACTTCTCCTTTATCACCACCACCCCCTCAGGTTCTAAATGGCCCAAGATTTGGTCCCTTGTTTTTTCCATCATACCTCTCATGACCCATTTCCAATCCAGCTCAGACTCCAAGGTGTATCACTTCATATATTCTCTTTCCAGAAACCTCTGTGTTGTAATTTCCTGTCCTTCTTCCCTCACACACAGCTAATCCCCAATTGTATCAACCTAATCATTTGCTGTCTGATTTAACACCTGGCTACTAAGCATATCTGTGCCAAACTGCCCACCAGTGCAGGTTGGTGCCACTACAATTTGATGATCTCTAATCTATGTTGGGAAGGAGCTCTGGTGGTACAGTGGTTAAGGCATTTGGCTGCTAACCAAAAGGTGGGTGGTTCAAACTCATCAGTCACTCCACAGAAGAAAGATGGGGCAGTCTGCCTCCGTAAATATTTACAACCTTGGAAACCCAATGTGGGTCGCTATGAGTTAGAATCGACTCGATGGCAGTGAATTGGGTTTTTGTGGAACTTATGTCGGGCCTCCCTGAGTGGTGCAAATGGTTCACACACTCAGCCAATAACTGAAAGGTTGAAGGTTCAAATCTACCCAGAAGCTCACTGGAAGAAAGGCCTGGTGATCTACTTCCAAAAAAATAAGCCATTGAAAACCCTATGGAGCATAGTTCTACTCTGACACATGTGGGATTGCCATGAGTTGGAGCTGACACAGAAGCAACCGGTTAACTTGAGCTGATGTGTTTCATCGATTCCTTTACAGGCCCCTACAAGAGTCTTCCTTGTTTTTCACTGGAACTGATGTACACATTATTATTCTGCTCAGTCTCCCTATCAAGCTTCCTTTTTGCTTGAAATTTACTCTCCTTTGCAGTTCTCCTAGTCATGCAAAGATCAAATCCCTCTTCAAATTCCATTTGCTACTTACAAACATTTTTGTAAAATATTAATGTATGCAGAATTAAATGAGTAAGTTAAAATTTTATTCATAGGAGTTAGCTTTAACTAAAGAACAAGTTAAAGTGTTTTAATTAGCCAATTATATAATATAAAATAAAATCTTGATTTTTCACTTTTCTATGCTGTCTTTATCCACAGCACATTGAGCCTCTCACTCTGTCAGAGAAAGACTACCTCTAAGCTTTTCTTGGCTTTGAAGTTTCTTGGGACATGTTTCCTGGTTCCTCTTACCCTTCTCCTAAAGTCATTTGTCTACAGCCTTGAAGGGAAGCCAAAGAGCATGGCACAACTGATTAATCACAAGTGACTAGTTTTGAAAGGCCCCAGGACTTATGAGATGAGATGGGAGAAAAGGAGAGAAGGCAGAGGCCGCGCTGTGGGTGCTCTCTCTTACCGCATGACAAAATTTGCTTCATCTATTTGACGGCCACAGCCACTCTTCTTCAGAATCCCACCATTTCCCACCACCGCACATTTCTTCAATGGCAGCTGGAATGGGGTTGCCTAGCAACAGAAAACAAGGCGGGTTTTCACTGCAGAGAACACACAACTGCTCACATAATCATTGTTTACAACAGACCCTTTGTAGGAATTTGATCGAAGACTAGGCAGAGTGAAAGAGTATGTGGAAAGAAAGATGCCAAGAAGTTTGTAAGGAAAAATCTAGCCTGTTCCTTTGAAAATTAAAAAAAAAAAAAATCCTTTTCTGAAATGTATTTAAATAGAACAATATTTTTTTCTGTTCCAAATTGGCCATGCACATAGTAGAGGGTGTCTGTCTGCTAGGGAAAATAGAAAAATCCAAGCTAAACATAGGATTATTTTTAAAGGCATTAAACTGGGAACAAAGTCAAATAAATTCTATCCCCATATTTAAATGCAATTTCATTTATTCATACAATTGACCATTTACTCAACAGATGTTTCTGAACATTTGCTATGCTAAGTATTGGAGATTCAAAGACACAGAGATACCAGGCCTCAGGATTTACAGTCTGGGATGTGAGTAGAGAAAGGGGTAAGAGAATGTGATCCTATATACTCATGCAACAAACTCTAATGTAAGGCTGAAATTGCTGCAGAAGAGGTATGCACCAAATGCTATAAGGAATTCCATAGCGGAAGGAGAAGGCATTTCTGCCAAGTAGACTCAGGAAACACTTTCCCACTTGAGATGATTCTTAAAGTCTGAGTTGGATTTTTCCAGGCAGTGAAAGCAGCACTAATAAAGGCACAAAAGTATAAGAGCAAATGAACCTTCTAGGTGGGTCTGTTTAGAGCTTAGGATACACTAAAAAGCAAGTGACTTACGCTGAACCAGACAGTATGTGACTTTGTTTCTGCAAACACTGAACTGGCCTGAAAAAAAAAAAAGTTAAGTGTACCTGAGTGTTCCCTGAAATGTTATTTATAGCACCAGGCTATATAGAAACCCAGCAATAGCCTCTGCAAGTAAAATGCGTCATTCGGCCTCTTCTGAGTGGGTTAGCAAGAAAAGAATGTTCTGTGTGCTGAAACAATGCATAGAGTCTTGGGGGAAAGATCTTCCATATATGACCTTCTATATATTATGTATATGGAAAAATATTATTCCCACATTAGTTAGGCCAGCCTGGATGAAACACAATAAAATAATATGGGTTATCCCAAAAGAATAGATAGAGTTAATATATTTGTAGGATTAGAAGTCCCTCATATGCCTGAAATAAGGAGCTCTAGTAGCGTAGTGCCTAAGGCATTTGACTGCTAATCAGAAGGCTGGCAGTTTAAATCCACCAGCCACTCTACAGAAGGAAGACTGGGCAATCTACTTCCACAAAGATTTACCACCTTGGACACCCAAGGGGGGTTGCTACGAGTCGGAATCGACTCAACGGCAGTGAGTTTGGTTTTTTAGTTTTATAGGCCTGAAATAATTAAACAGAAAAAAAAAAAAAAAAAAGTCCAGAAGGCTCTGTCTTCACTGGGAACTGGGTAGACACTTAATGGAGCCCAAAGAGAGGAGTTCACATCTTGAATTCCAGTATGTGACAGGAATAGCTAGGCCTTGGGAATATTGCTAATAAAGATGCAGTATTTAAACTGTGATGTCTAAATATCTTCTAGTGGAAAGTTGAGACTTCTGTGCCTTAGTGCAACAGGGACCAGGTGTGTGAATTCCAGGGTGAAGAGGAGTAGTAGCAGATGTGAAGCAGCATCTGGCACATCCAGAATGACACATGGATTTATCTCAGTCAATCCTGAGAAGATGGTAAGGAATTAACACTAGAAACACACTACTTAGATCTATACTTTGTCAGCTGTAGATTTAAGTATGTGTACTCAATCAGCTGTTCATTTATTCCACATGTATTTACTAAGTGCCTACTATGTGCCAGGCATTGTCCTGGGTGATAGGACACAAGTGAAAAGCTCTCTTTCCCCAGAGGCTGCATTCTAACGGTGGAAACAGATTTACAAAGATAAATGAGTAAAATGTACAGTATGTCAGAGGGTGACACAGGCCCTGGAAAGAAATACAGCATCGGCGTCAGAGGATCAGGAAGTGCTTTGAGAGAGGAACTGCAATTTTTAACAAGGTAGTTAGGGCTTAAAGGGACACTAAGCAAAACACTGAAGGAGATGAGGGAGTGAGCCTACAGATACTTGTGGGAACTGCTGGGGTGAAGGCCTTGAGGAGGGACATGTCTGAGGTATGCAAGGAAGAGGAAAGAGCCCACGTGTCTTGAGACCAGTGAGCAAGGGAGAAAGAAGGAACAGATTAAAATTAACTGATGGGAAGGCTCAGAACAAATTCTATAGGGCCTTATGGATAATGTAAAAACCTTGGTTTTTACTCTGAGAAGCAGGGTGTTCTGCATGTTGGGCTGAGAGCCAGCCAGCCCATGGGAGTGAGTTTTATCCCAGGCCCGAAGTGCATCCCAGGCCATAGTGTTGGGTCCCACCAGACTCCATATAGGATTGAGCAGAGAAGTGACACCAAGACATATTTTGGAAGAATCACTCAATTGGCTACAGGATGTCAAGGCAGAAAAAGGCCAGTTAAGAGTCTCCCATAGACATCAAGCTCAATTGGCATAACATACTATACAAAACATTGTTCCACCTACTACTTTTGCGAGTAGCGACTGGGACCTTAAAAGCTAGGAAGCTGCCATCTAGATGCAACAAC